AGAGCTCCGCTCATGTGGATCTGAAAGGTCGTAGCTAACTTCATTGGCCAGACACATTATGGGATTCACTGAAAAATTTGAAGAGCAAACCAAAAAAAGTTGTAGTACAAAGATGAATGTGCGAGGTGAAATTTTGTTTGTGTAATATCCTACAATTAAATTATAGGCTGTAATGCTTTTTTTTTTGGATGCTAAAGCAGAGTAATTCAATAAACTCAAAGAGAATCACTTAGAGCTGAAAGTTGTTGATATCATTCTTGAGGATCCGGTAGCTGTAACCAGGAATTCCGTGTAATTGATTGCTTTCAGCTACTTCCGCAACAGAGCAAATTTTTGGAAGGAATCTACCCTTGCCTTTTGGCTTCCTCCTCTTCCTTGTTGTAAGCAAGGACCAGAAACTGGACTAGGAAATCTTACGTTTTATATATATATATATATATATATATATATATAGGTATATTTAATAATTTATAATATTGTTTATGAACGTCCAAATAAATTGGTTAAAATAAATGGAAAAACTGTACTAAGAAAATGAAAAAAAAAACAAAAGGCAAAAAAATTATTTATTTTTTTAAAATTATAATTATATTTACTTTTTTTTTTAAAATTATATGTGACTTTAAAATATAAATCACGCATAACTTATTATTTTTAACTTCCTTAATATTTTAATTAAGTATAATAAAATAATATTAGTAAATAAAATACAGTATTGAACTATTGATGTTTTTTGAAAATTAAAAATATTTAATGATTATTTTAATTTTTGTCCAAAATAAATGGAAGGAGTTATTTTATTTTATTTTTGTAACTGGTGTTATTATTACACTTACAATAAAAAAAATTAGTCATGATATCGAATTGTGGAGTAATATCAACCAATTCTTTGGAAAGTAAAACCAAAGAATGTTTACCAAAAAAAATAAAATAATTGAATATAAAAACTTAAAACCAAATATTTGCCAACTTAAATATTTACAAACACTTATAAATGTTTGTTAGAATATTAAATGTAATAACTCAAATATTTGTCAACTCTTCATCTAATATGTCACAAAAACACACATTTAAGAAAGTCGATATTTAGAGGCAACTATAAAAACATAGATAGAAAGTAATCTAGACGTAACTATAAGAATCTTTTTTTGTGTGGATAAATATAAAAACCTATTACATGCTGATATAAAATGCTGATATTTACAGGTGGCAAAGCCGGCCCACCCCGCCTACCAATACATTTTTTGTTACTGTCTAACAAATCCGTCTTTGTGTGATTTTTATTGGATTTACTGCTGCAAATATTTAAGATCAAGTATCTAAACAAAATAGGGTCTTGGCTAGGAGGGCCAGACCACTAGGGGTGTTCATCAATCGATCCAAATCGCGGTGACTGAACCAAAAAACTGATAACCGAAAACCGAAAAATCAAAAACCGAAAAAAAACCGCAAATTTTTCAATTGGATTGGATCGGTTTTTGGATGGGTTGATGAAAATCGATCCAATCCAAACCAATCCAATATATTAATTCCCCTCTACCTACTTGGGTCTTTTCCTAATCATAGCCCAAAAATTTCTAAACCCAAAACTCATTAACCCATCAACTAAGCCCAAGAAAAAATCTAGTCACATCTCATCAACAAAATTTTATCTTTGTAGAGCTTCATATTTCATTGGCCCCCAAAAATAAACTATCTTATAGTTTACTAATGCTTTTGTATTTCAAAAAAAAAAAAAATACAAAGCCAATATATACGAAATATGTTATTTGTATAATATTCATGAAATAAATTTTAAGATTTTCAAAAAATCGAAAACCGATCCAATCCAAACCGAAAAAAATTGGATTGGATTGGATCGGATTTGAAAAAAATTCCAAACCGAATGGATGATTATATAATCAAACCGAATGGATTGGATCAGATGATTTTTCCTTCCAAAACCGATCCAATCTAGACCGCGAACACCCCTACGGACCACCCTGCCTGCAACCATATTTATCTCTCTTATATTTACTGTCTAACAAATTCGTCTTTGTGTGGCCCAGTGTTTGTTAGAATATTAAACGTAATAACTCAAATATTTGTCAACTCTTCATCTAATATATATGTCACAAATACACACATCAGAGAGTCGATTTAGTGGCAACTATATAAAAAATGGGAAAAATGCTTCTGCAGTTAATGCAGATAGGTTATCTGCATTTTTTCCAAACCGACGTCGTTTTGGTATTGAAATTTTAAAAAATTATAAATATAAAGACTATAATAACCCTGAAATAAATTAAAATTACAAAAATACCATGATTTTCGTTCCAAAACGACGTCGTATTGGGCTTACTGCAGATAACTTATCCGCAGTAACTGCAGAAAAAGAGAACCCATAAAAATAGATAGTAATCTAAATGCAACTATAAAAACCTTTTTTTGTATGGATAAATATAAAAATCTATTGCACGCTGATATAAAATGCTGACAGTTAGAGGTGGCAAAATGTTCGGCTCAGCGGGCCGGCCCGCCCAGCATGCCAACATATTTTTTTATTTATTTATTTACTGTCTAACAAATCTGTCTTTGTGTAGCTAAGATTATTGGATTTACTGCTGTAAATATTTCATAAACAAGAATATAAACAAAATGAAAAATCATATTGTGATAAATGAAAGTTCATCTTTTAGAAATACTTAAAGAAGTTGAGTCAAACTATGTAATTTCTGAATGACTACAGGATAAGTTAAAATGCAGCAATATACTTTTACGATTTAAGTTAACTTTTAACAACAAACCGATTCTTTTCTCCGTGCAACGCACATGTAATACACTAGTTAACTATAATATACAATACATAAATTAAAAATATTATTTAATATCAAAATGTTTCCTAACGTGTTGAAATTTAACATTTTTTAGAATTGACGTGTCGGAGTGTCGTATCGCATCCCATGTCGGTGTCGGTGCAACATAGCTCACAACTTTCATATTTTTTATTTTTATTTTTTTATACTAGTTAGTCGGCCTAGTAATATTTTGTTTTCTTATATAAAAAAATAGGAGAGATATGTGTACAACCTGATGCCGAAAGAGCATAGAAAATTGGCTAAACAGAAAGTTAGGATTTTATAAAAGAGTAACTGATTCTTAATTTCTATTAACAAAATAAAAAAATTCAACTCCTGCAATAAGGATCATAAACACTTTTTTATAGACTAATTATGAATTGATCCAACATTTTCAAATTTAAAATCTTAAAAATAAAGAAAATTCCTAAAAATAAATATAACGGTTTATAAAAATAAATAAATAATTACAATTAAATTATTCGAAACACGTCTCAAATCTTAGATATCAAATCATGTCAAATATGTTGCTTTCTTTTTCTTTACCAAATAAATCACAATCATATTTGTTGCTTCATTTGAACATATTTGGAATAATTTAAAATTACAATTTCTCCATAGGCCGGACCATATTTTCGCTATAGAATATTGCGTACAAAGTCTACCCTATTAACCTATTTAAATTTATAAATTGAATATTGAATACGCCTGGAGGCATCTAAACCCAGGTATCCTATCAGGTTTTCCAAGGCTTTTTGACCCTTTTGCTCCTCATTAATTAATTACTAACCATTTTGCCCTTTATCCAAAACTATCTACCAGTCTACTCTTCTTTAATCGATTAACTTGAAGATTTAATTGATTAAATGGTCCAAACTAACAAAAATGATTGACTTGAAGATTTAATCGATTAAATCTTCAACTTAATCGATTAAATCTTCAATAATAAGAGCAAAGACTATCAAGACATAGTAACATGGTTAAAATGAACCAACAAGACATATGAGTTGATTGATAGTAACAGTACAACAACATCGCTAGTTCTTCATATCGAAAATGGGGCCTATACCTGATATCTATGTCAGTTTGCCCTCCCTGAGCTCCACCAATCATTATCCTTGAATTTCGCAAGTTGTATCTCTTTCCTTCAGAAAGGAGGAAGGAATACAAAGTTAGAAGAAGCATTTGTCATGTGTGGAGAAAAAAGAGAAATGAGAGACACCATAAAATAAAAAAAGGAACATATACATAATTATTACCTGTAAATGATCCTCATGGAGAATTTACATACATGACAATATCCTGATCAACATATCACTTAGCCGCCACTTCAATAATAAAAGCATAGTTGTTTGTACTTGTACCAAATCAAATCGAATAATGGTGCACACTGCACACATCCTCTCTTCGATTCACCTCTCTTGTTCTTTCCTAATTCCTATGTCTTTGCTCCTATTATTGAAAATTTAATTGATTAAATCTTCAAGTCAATCATTTTTGTCAGTTTGGATCATTTAATCGATTAAATATTTAAGTTAATTGATTAAAGAGGGATAGATTGATAGATAGTTCTGGGTAAGGGGTAAAATGATTATTAATTAATTAATGAGAGGCAAAAGGGTCAAAAAGCCGATTTTCCAATCCAATAAAGCTTAGAAGATATCAAAAATTAAATTAAAATACATGATAAATTTTTTATGACTATTAGGTATCCGATTAGGTTTTCCAATCCTATAGAGAGAGAAAATTATTAATTTCCGTGCATAAATTATTCTAATTTTTTATAAACATTATCATATATAATCTTAAATAAATATAGACTGGTTAAAAAATTTATAGAAGTAGATATATGACCCAATATTTAAATAGACTTATTTTTAGACCTAAACCTGACTTAATTTGCTAAAAAAGCAAAGTCATAAATTGCTAATAGACCGTCGAATTTATTTACATCCCTAATTGAAAATTTTGAAATCAACTGGGCAAAGGTCTATTTAAACAGAGGGAAAAAAATAAAAAAGGTATTGCATGCAAATCAGTTCAAACGTTTCATTTTTTTTCAGGTTTGGTTCAATTAAATTCAGTTGGTTTGTTTGTTTTAGCCCATCCCTAATTCAAGATTAAATCAGTACAACTAATGGTCGAATCATATCACGTCATTAACACATTATGCCCTCTTTATTATTGATTTTTCTATTGTCAATATACAACATAAGATAAATGTATAAGTTACCACTATGCATTTTGTCGATATTCATTCTCATATTACCCAGCATATCTCGTATCCTCTTATGGAACTGTACAACATAGAAAAGAAGAAAATACATAATACTTTAGCATAGAGGCAACGGGCACTACACCATCACGGGCTTCCTATAGAATTAGAAGACATGATGAGTTTGGGGGCATTTTGTATATATAATTATCGAAGTATCTATGGAATAAGATACTAGTCTTCTACAACATGAGACTAGTATTTCCCATGATTATATGTATAAATTGCACACTTCATTCTGGATGTACGTCCTGCCCCACATGAAGCCAGGAATCACCTTGTTGCTGCTCGCCATCAATAGATGCATATTTCAGTAGTATGCCAAACAAAATCTTTCCCTGCTTTATGTATAAATTATATTAGAATATGAATGCATCGAATAAATCGAAGTTATAAATGAAATCTAGCTACAAGACAAAAAGTTGTAAGTCTTGGCCTACCTTTACTCTCCTGTATGATGCTAAAGTTGCCAAAGGTTCATTTGACTTTTGCACTTGTCCAGCATTGATGGTAAGGTTGATTATCTGGCATCGATTACATCCCCCTAGCGACTGGTGAATAAAGATGAGGAGGGAGAGATAAGAGAGAAAGGTCAAGCAAGCAAATCCTCAAAATTAAGAAACAAGAAAGCATTCACTAGAGATCATGAAAGAAAGCAAAGGGTTTTTTATTAGATGCAATGCAACCATGGCAATAGCATCATAAGAAGAGGACAATCCCATCAACAAAAAGAGAAACTGTTCACTGCTAGAGAGGAGAGATCAAGACATCACTGAATTTGAATTCTTAAAATTTATTGGGGTACAAATCAATAGAAACAAGACCTCTTCTCCTTTGCAGGTTTTGACGTTGAACTTTGACATTCAATGCAATATTTCTTAAAATAATTCTCTGCAAAACATGCCAAAGCAGCATGAGATTAAAAGGGGAGACCAAGTGAGATAATTGGTTAGGGTTAGTTTTCCATGAATTTGACATGGACGGGAAGGGGGATAGCTGGTCACTTGTGAGGCCAAAGAGATGGTGGTTGTCATGAAGAGCTGAGTTACAAGAAATGCTGAGCTATACGACCAGAGAGAAAACCCAAGATTGGCACCAGTTTGCTAGTACCATGTAAGAATGAAATTTCCCTCACATGTTGAGTGCTAGGTTGCTTTTATTTATACATAGATTACCAAGTATAAGATACACTATCCTAAGTAAAAGTTCCACAGTACTAGATCATACAACTATATACATATGATACCTTAAATATAAGTAGTTCAGATTTCATCAAGAGGAAATGCAACAACATGGCATTTTGAGATTAAGACTGTAAGAATGTTAGAGATATTGGAAAACAGTATCCAATGTGAATGCAGGTCATGTATTCATATAAAATAAATACGTAATAGTAAAATGTAGCACAAAGGATGTAAAAACCCTCAATCAGACTAAACTCGAGCTTACCACGATTCCACTTAGCACTCACTCTCAAGTTGGATCATAGATGCTAATCATGCCCAACTTGTTACAGTGGATAACTGATAACCTACTCCCATTAAGTGCCTTCGTGAGGATGTCAACTATCTCTTTATCAAGAACCAATTATCCCAAAAACTTAAGCTTTTGGATGAAAGTACGTGAATGGTTTTATATCTAACATGACCTCTCACATACAACCCTTTGGGCTTGAAGCATGGATTATACACAATCTCACCACCTACATTAAGGGCTTAACTAAGTATTTTTAAAAGAATGAGGGGTACCGAGGATCGAAATCTAGATCACTTGGTCATAAAAGCTAGGATATCATGTTGTGAACTGATGGGCCTATAATAAATAATCCAAGCCCATTAATATCTTAGAATTAGTATATATACAAGTTTAGGGTGATGTTTCTATTATGCATGTATTCAGACTTGATTAGAGGGGAAATTGAGAGACCTCTAGGGAACTCTTGAGCTTAGGTATTTGGTTTGAGGAGGAGTTGAGGCTTTCTGGGTTTATTTTCTGCATTTAATATTGTGTTAGTGTATATAAAAAGAGGCTATGCCTCCATTGTCAATGAGATCAGTGCTGTATTTTTCTGGGTTCCATCAATTTGGTATCATTGTCAAATGAGAATGTGTGGCCGTAGAGTCTGTATTCATTCCTTTTACATGTTATTTCCTTGCTGTTAGATTACTGCTATATAGTACTGATATAGAGTACTGTATGTCTGAATTTTCTCATTTGTAATAGCATCACTGTTGCAGTGAGTTGATGAATTCTGTATTTGGATTAAGTGTAGCTGAACGTTTTTTTTTGAAATATCAATATAAGTTTGTTTTGTTGGATCTTTCCATCAATTGGTATCAGAGCATTTCCGATCTAGGGAGTGCTTCTGGTTCAGATCTACCACAAAAAAAAAAAATGGAAAACAACAGAATGGAGAGGAGCATGGATCGATTGGAAGCAAGCATGGATCGAGTGGAAGAAGGAATGGATCGAGTTGAAGATGCTGTTCATCAACTTCAGAAAACAATGTGGACGTTAATAGAGCGCATAGATCCGTGTTTTGCACAAGAACACAAGGCGAGAATCAAAGAAACAGAAGACGCAAAAAAAGGAAACGCAACAGAAAAAAAAGAACAAAAAAAGAACAAAAACGCAGAAGAAGAAGAAGAAATCGAACAAAAAAAAGAGAATGAAAAAGAAAATACAGCAGAAGAAATAGGAGAAAAAGGAAAAGAAGCGCAGGGAGATGAAGAAGACGGAGAGGAAGAAGAAGACGAAGTCAGATCTGATACAAGAAGACCATGCGCGGACAGATCTGAAACCAGCGTGGAGGCTGCGTGTGACCAGCAGCGACGACCACTTACAGTGGCAGGGGCGACGACACAAGGAGCTCAGGCCATCGACTTTGCTGCTCACCGGAGAAGATCACTGACCAAGGTGGAAGAAAGGGAGAAGAGAAGAGAACGGATCAGAGTATCATTGAGTCCTTCAAGTTACGGGTCAGGATTTGGGGTTAGCTTCCACACTAGGCTTGCACTTACTAATTGGGCTGCTGGTGAGGGAAGCTATGGGCAAGGCCCATTAATCAGCAATGGAAGACATGGGCCAACATTTACGGGAACAAGAAACTTAGTCCACTTAGGGAGGAAAAATGGGAATTTTATGAAGGAAAATAATGGGCTGTGTGGGGAAACCCATTTGGGGCCTCATGTGAACCAGAGAAGGCCCAATATTTCTGAACTGCAGTTACGCGCAGGTGTAGGGGAGAAGATGATGATAAACAAGGAGGAGGAAGAAGAAATTCGACAATGGAAGACAATGGCATATTTTCTGAAAATTCATTTGGTTCAAGAATTGCAGCTGGCATTGGGGTCAAGAGGCTTCAAAATATGGGATCCTGGTGGAAGTTTGTTCACATCACCTATCTCCTCTCTTCACCTTGAGGACAAGGTGAATTTTGAGGGGGAGTATTGATGGGCCTATAATAAATAATCCAAGCCCATTAATATCTTAGAATTAGTATATATACAAGTTTAGGGTGATGTTTCTATTATGCATGTATTCAGACTTGATTAGAGGGGAAATTGAGAGACCTCTAGGGAACTCTTGAGCTTAGTTATTTGGTTTGAGGAGGAGTTGAGGCTTTCTGGGTTTATTTTCTGCATTTAATATTGTGTTAGTGTATATAAAAAGAGGTTATGCCTCCATTGTCAATGAGATCAGTGCTGTATTTTTCTGGGTTCCATCAATTTGGTATCATTGTCAAATGAGAATGTGTGGCCGTAGAGTCTGTATTCATTCCTTTTACATGTTATTTCCTTGCTGTTAGATTACTGCTATATAGTACTGATATAGAGTACTGTATGTCTGAATTTTCTCATTTGTAATAGCATCACTGTTGCAGTGAGTTGATGAATTCTGTATTTGGATTAAGTGTAGCTGAACGTTTTTTTTGAAATATCAATATAAGTTTGTTTTGTTGGATCTTTCCATCATGAACCAACTATCCCGAAAGCTTAAACTATTGGGTGAAAGCACATTAATGGTTTTATATCTAACATTGTTCTCAAGTTCTAACAAGTCTTGTAGATACAAGTCCTTACTATATTTCTCTCGAATGAAATGGCAATAGACTTCTACTTGCTTTGTCCTTTCATGAAATGTCAGGTTTGAGGCAATATGCATGATTGTCACACCACAGCCATAGATAGGTAGAGAAACCTAAACCCATTCTCATCTAGTAAATGAGACAACCATAACAGTTCACAAGAAGTTCGGGGCCACTGCTCTATATTTAGACTCTGCACTAGGCCTTCCTACTACACTCTTGTTTCTTACATTTCACATTTGAAGCCGAGTCCTTCCCTGAGACTCCTTTTCCCTTATTGTCTGACTCTACTAGTGTGCAGAAACTAGTACCATTTTCTGGTGATTCACCAGAATCAGTTCCTGAACCAGCTAAAGGTCAAGGCTGGCCCATCACTAGTAATATACAAAAGGAGAAAAAAACTCTAATCAGTCCAACAGCAGCTTCAGTCGTCTGAACCTACGGAAAGTATTAAACATAATGTTCCTCATATTCTTGAATCAGATCCTTTCAATGTTCCTTTAAATAATTGAGACTAACCCTAAGAGCTTTGAATACGTGCACACATGCGAAACAGACCAATAAACCCGCAACCCAGCTCACTACCAGCCTGCCTCCCAGCATCAGTCAACCAAGACTGGCTGGATGTCACTAGCAACCACCACTCACTTGCTTGAGATATCAAACAATAGCCACAATGATGGCTGTCCTAACTCTTCCTTTTTTAAGAGGAAAAAAAAAACCCAAAAACCCACATGACAAATTAAAATCCCATACACAACTTGGGTACATGTGATGTATTTATATACAATAAATAGCCTAGCAGTACAATGTAATACAAGGTAGTGCAAAAGACTTAAATACCCTCAAGCACACTGAACACACGCTTAATGCACTACTCTTAACAAGGATAGTCTTATAAAACGGTGTGCCAAATAGAAACTCTTCTGAATAAAATCATAGATGAAAAACAAAATTTGCGATAGGGACAATTTCACACGGAAATTACATTAGTTTTGCAAATTGCTACAGGAGTAGAAAATAGGAGTAGTAAACATTGTAAAGCTGAAAAAGCAATGAAATCCATGAATTTTCTCCAAGTTATGCCATTGTTCAACACAGATAGAAGAGTACTAGTAAAGGTTAGCCAAAAGGGCCATCTGACAACATCAAATTGCACAATAGCAAGAAATTTGTTCTGTTAAGTCATTTTGAAGGTTATTAGAACTTACTCGGAAATACTTATTTCCAATCCTAATGTCTCTCCATCCATCTTCATCATAAGGCCTCCCTCCAGATACTACAAGGTTGGGACGAAACCTACTTGCATTGACTTGGATTGCTGTTCCACATACGCCCTTCCGTACATCTAGTAACATCAACAATAGTTGGCAAACATTTTAATATTCTGAAACATTGGGGTCGAGAGACAAAACACAATGTAACTAATGTAGTTTGTGATATACACTTATATGCATCTTTATATTATGTTAGATGTATATTGGGTTTAGCATAAGGTGATGTTATAGGCATTAATATATTTATTGGTTGATTGCTATCAGTGTCATTATTTGATTATAAAACCGTAACCTTAACTAGTGGTGATTTTAGTTGTAATGTTCAACATTTGTTGATGGTTATCATTTAATTGGTAATGTGCAACAGTTATTTTTATTTAATTTTATAACCATTAAAATATATGAATGATAGTTAAAATAATTATGATAACCGCTTACCAAAAAAAAGTAAATTATGATAACCATTAATATTACTTGCAATATTAATGATAATTAAAGTAATTATGATGACCATTGATATTACCTACAATTAATGTCCATTTTCAATTGGAAAACTTCAGCTATAAATAGAAGCTTAACCTAACCAAACCTAATCGTTTCTATATTCTCTCTAATTCCCTACATATCTCCATTTCCTTTTTTTCCACTTCTCATTTTTTTTCTTATTTTCAACCCTTTCAATATTCTGCTGTAATTATTTCCTTTAGCTACCACATGCTCTTCCCCCCATGAATCGCTCTTCTCCCTAAGAAGCCTTCAAACACAAAGTTCAGGTAATCCTAATCCCTAAGTGATTGTAGGTTAGTTTTATACGAAATTTGTTGGGTGTATATTAATCCTTTAGGAGTAATAAATTAGTTTTATATGAATTTTATTTGATATAATCTTGACCTTTACGGAGTAATATATTAGTTTTATATGAATTTTGTTTGATGTAAATCCAATCTTTAGCTAATCTGTAGATTAGCTATATATTAATTTGTTATATGTAATCCCGATCTAAGGGTATCATAGGTTAGTTTTATTTAAAATTTGTTATGGGTAATTCTAATCTTCAAGGAGTAATAAATTAGTTTTATATGAATTTTGTTTGATGTAATCCTAACCCCTAGAGAGTTATTGGTTAGCTTTATATGAATCTCGATAGCGTAATCTTAATCCTTAGAGTGTCATAGGTTAGTTTTATTTGAAAATTGTTATATGTAGGTTAGCAATATATTAGGATTAGGATTACGCTATCAAGATTCATATAAAGCTAACCTATGACACTCTAGGGGTTAGGATTACATCAAACAAAATTAATATAAAACTAATTTATTACTTCCTGAAGATTAAAATTACATATAACAAATTTCAAATAAAACTAACCTATCATACCCTAAAGATCGGGTTATGCAAATTTTACTCTTAAGGTATTTTAGTTTAGTTTTGTATGTAATTTGTTATATATAATCCTACCCTTAGTTAATCGTAGGGTAATTTTATAAGAATATTGTTGGGACGTTTATTGGATTTAGTTTTAACCTCTAAGAAATCATGGGTCAATTATATATGAATGTTGTTGGGAATTTTGTTGGGTTTGATCTTAACCTCTAGGATATGGATCTTACATTTGGTAAATGTTGGGTAATTGATGTGAAAATTAAGATATTCATGAATAATTGATGTGAAAATTATGATACTCTTGGACAATTGATGTGGAAATGATGATAGTCTTGGACAATTGATGTGAAAATTATGATACTCTTGAGTAATTGATGTGAAAATTATGATACTCTTTGAGGAAATTTTCTAAGTATGTGATTTGTGACAAGATTGAATTTTCCAAGTTGTGTGTGATTGTGATAAGATAATAGTGGGAAGATAGCTTTTAGGATGGTACCTCCTGAAAGTGATGAACACAATCTTTGGGCTTTATGCCTTCGATGTTATACGATATGAAAATGATGTTATCCGTTCTTCCCAAAGTGGTACCTTGCAACAGGCTTTTCAGGGTACTAGTAGCAACTTTGGTGGAGAGGTGTGCATACTAGGATTTGATGATTGCCAAATTTGATTATACGTGGCTGGCAAGAGGATCTCCCGGGTCTACCGTGGTTCTCTCCCACTAAATGAAACTAAATAAGGTTAATAATGGAAATGACATACTTGTAGATTATGATGAGTATTTGAGTTATGATTATCCTTAATTGAGACTTGAGTTGACTATGATGATTGGTTAAGTTATGATTATCCTTAATGAAATATAGATCGTGATTAATGGTTGAGTTATGATGATTGATTGAATTATGGTTATCCTTAATGAAATAACTTGATTGATGATTGAGTTGATTATAATGATTGATTGAGTTATGATTATCCTTACTGTGTTTTGGATTGGGATTACCAGCTTTTTGCTGACTGTTTGTGTTTGTGTTTATATGCTGCGATGATCCTTCAAGAGAGCAGAGACCCCTCAGTGAAGTAGGTTTCGAAGGTTGGGAATAGCAGTGGGCAGTGAGGATAACGTTTCAGACATTTCAATCTAGGCCTGAATATTATAAATTCGATGCTTAGGATTTAATAATTGTATAAGACATATTTAAGTTAAACTTTAGACTCTGGATTTATATTTTGAAGTTTTAAATATTTACATTGAATATATTTTGGTATAAGAGTATGGTAAAGTTAGTCTTGCACTTATTTTTGTTACAGGTGTGGCGGTAAAATTTCTCCAAATCGGTTTTAGATTAGCTTCCGCAATACTTTATGAGATCCTAATAAATAATTAAATGTGAATTTTGGCAAATTCTGCTATTATAAGAATATTTTAAAATTATTAGAAATTTGGGGGTGTTACAAGTGATCACTAAGGTTAGAGTTGAAAAGTTAATTTTTTGAAGAAATTTCACTACCCCTGTTATTTTGTTTTTTACACTAACATCCCAATTACAATCTTATCAATTGACCAAATAATCAAATCAACCACCAATAATGCAATCTATATGCATCATGAACTAGTTTTGTAAAATTTGTCAAACATTGATCAAAATCTTCGATTGCATTCTAAAATGAAATCGAAGTAATAGCCTATATGGAAGGAAAATAACCAAAAAATACAAGGACTTGCATGTCGTATCATATAAGAAAATGGGTAGAAGAGCATACCTAAACTTAATCTTTTGTTTAGGTCAGCAACACTTTCCTCAGATACAAGTAAGAACTGTGCTTCGTTGGCAAAATTGAGCATGCACTTTGCATCTCTACATGTGACTGCACCATTGGTCTTATTCAACGCAAAATCATGATCGAAGCTGGAGTACCGTAACAAAGTGCAAGGTTTACCAATGACTTTACTAAACCATGCATTGGTCTCATTGCTGTAACTATACACCTCGTACCTAAGCAACAAAAAAAATAAAATCCAAGTATGAGAGAACCAAACTAAAATTGACGGTGTAAAACAATTTAGAACCTTCTTACGATAGAAAAGTATTAGCAACTAGAAAAACAGAATGTTGAGCTTCTGTTAAGGGACGCGAACCCTTAAACGATCTCTCAGTTAACAGAACAAAGAAAACAGAGAGAAGAACAAGGAAAAGGAACGAAAACAAACTTGTATATTTCTGAATGAATTGCATCAGTTACAATAGTTGTCCTTTTATTACAAAGACAACAAACTATGAATGTCCTAACCCCTGCCACGTCGCATTTATAATAGCGAATATCAGTGACTACAATATTAGTCTATTAAGCTTCTATTCTTATTCTAATACACTCACTGTAAGTAACCCCAAGGCTTGACGTACAATTAATATCATGTACAATTAATAGCTACTTACACGTAACATTACCCACCCCTACAAAATGGACCTTGTCCTCAAGGTCCAAATGAGGTAAAAAAAAAATTCACAAATGGTAGTAAAACCTTGTAACTAACAGCTACCAAAACAGAAGCACATAAACCGAGCTAAAGATGATAACACAAGAAAAATAGAAAACGTCATCAACCAGGGACGGAAGCTATGTCATGACACAACCCCTTAAAGTCGCTTATCTGATATAGGAGCCTCTTCTTCCACTTGAAACTTCTTGAGGCTTGACAAGCTTCCCTAACGTCCTTTGATTTCCCTTGATTACACCATCCCGAGGTGGTGTAAAGCACACATGCAACACTTGCTCGGAATCACAGGGAAAGTGCATAGTTTCAAAGTGCTTCTCTAATTCCTCCTTTCCTTGGAGACATGCAGCAACAACTTCACGTGTCTTGTGTGACTGGAGCATGTCCCATTTCATATTGGATGCTGTTAAAAGAAACTTCCAAGTTGCCTTGGGGTTTGTGAAGTTAACAAAAGCGTAACCCTCGTTCAACCCGCTTCCACATGGTGGAGGCAGTACGTCAAGCAGCTCTTTATTCTCCATGGACAACTCAAAATCAGCAATTGTTCCAGAAACAGGGGTTTGGAAAATAGATTTGGTTAAGAAACCATACTTTTCGGTGACCTTGTAAGGGGCTGGTGTAGATTTACATGTATTTTTTGTAATCTGCTTGCCAAGTTTCTGTTTTACGTGAGCAATATTGAGATTTGCTTTAAGAGCTTCGGTTGATGAGTTGTTATGGCATGATTGCAATTGACTATTTCCATCAAATGGCAGCTTCCCAATCACTAGCTGATACAATATTTCCCCAACACTCCATAAATCAGCCTTGGCGTCATACTTTTTAATTTGAATTATCTCTGAAACCATGTAATAAGGTGAACCACATAGTTTATCTGCCAACCCCTGGGGTGTGAGAGACCTTGCAAAATCAATATCCCCTATTTTTAGAAAAGAAAATCCTTGAGGGTCCCAATAGAACAAGGGGTCAAATAGTATCATGGACCAAGACCTTGTATTTAGGCTAGGCAATTCATCAAACATGTGCCTGGTATACTCATTTTTGGCAAGATTGGACAGCAAGGGAAAGTTGAAGATCCCCCCAAATTTGGGTTTCATCATTTTCTTCCCAAAGCCAACCTTCGCAAGTGCATACTCAGCTAGCTCTATAGAAGTAACAGAGAGGCAAGAAACTAGGACTTTAACGATACAAAGAAAATGAAGAAATAGAGAGGCAAAAGACCATAAGAAAGAAAAAGGACCCTTGACATTATTGGCATTGTGAATGAAAAGAAATCCTCCAGGATCCCAAAAGAACAAAGGGTCAGATATCATCACCCTACCAAATAGAAAACATGCATTATTTTTATTGCAACATTTATCTGAGGCAAAAATTATGACCTGGAAGTGAGATGTATCATCATGGTCTGCCATTTCAGCAAACATCTGATGTGCATAACCATATAATTTCTGCTCATGTGCTGTGGACGCTATTGCTTCACGTGCGATGCGGCCCAACTTAATGGACTGCTCATTTGCTTTCTTTAGATCTTCTTGAGAGAAATTCAACTGGTTCTGCAATTCTGCACTCTTTGCAGATCTTGGGGTTTGTGTATCAGATGGAGAGGAGGTGGGTCTCGGTGATTTTTGCTCAACCACTGGCTTTGAGTTCACATATCCCGGTGATCGTTCCACAAAGAGACGAGAATTTGGCAAGGGAGATGGTGATTCTGATTCTGAATTCGGTAGCTCTTTCTCTAAAACTGAATTCTTTTCCTTTGATTCAGCCATTTTTTTCTTGGCTTTTTCATTTTCTTTCGCCTTACTTTCTCCTCCCTTTGCGTCCACCGTCAGCACCGCGAACGCCGAAAGTCGACCACGGCAGATCCACCAAATTTAGAGAGTCCACAACATCAACCGACACCTTCTTGGGAGTATGGTGGATTTTCTTGAAGCAACTTTGCAGCATCACATTTTCCCTCGAACAATTTTCTCTACCCAAGATTGCAGCGTTGTTGGGAGCATGGTGCATGGTTCTTTGATTCAACGAAGATTGTGTTGCTCTTGCTGTCAAGGCATCAGTACCCAGAAGTGCAGCGTGAATTTGATGCAATAAATTCTTGATATAGAAGAACAAAGCTTGATCTTCAAATGAGACCTTGCTCCATTCGCGTTAGCATCTTGAACGAAAAGATTGGTGTGTTCAAAAATGAAAAGATTTAGGGATTGTGGAGATGCAAACTCCTACGAATCCATGATGTAGAATGAAAGCACCAATGTTAAGGGACGCGAACCCTTAAACGATCTCTCAGTTAACAGAACAGAGAAAACAGAGAGAAGAACAAGGAAAAGGAACGAAAACAAACTTGTATATTTCTGAATGAATTGTATCAGTTACAATAGTTGTCCTTTTATTACAAAGACAACAAACTATGAATGTCCTAACCCCTGCCACGTCACATTTATAATAGCTATATCAGTGACTACAATATTAGTCTATTAAGCTTCTATTCTTATTCTAATACACTCACTGTAAGTAACCCCAAGGCTTGACGTACAATTAATATCATGTACAATTAATAGCTACTTATACGTAACAGCTTCATGTGATACTCTACATCAGATTCAATTAGTTGATGCCAGTGTATATACCAAATAAATGAAATCACCCTTAATAATACATAAGAATATATGAAAGTTAAGAATATAAATTAATAACGAATGCCTTCATATAAATATTTGTTGTTAATTTTGAAGTTGAAGTTAATATCTTAATTCTTAAGTATTTATCTTGAGGAAATATATATTTTTGATTTTTTGTGCATATTAATTTTTTGTCATGATTGTGTGCCTTAAACTGATACTATAATTTTATTTATTTCAAATTGTTAATTACTAAACGTGCATCATTATGTCCAGATTCAGTGTAAGTGTCTAGGTTTAGCATATCATGTAATCATAGTAATTAGGAAAATTGTATCTGTTAAAAATTAAGTGTAATGCACATGATTAATATGCAAAGTGTATTATATCCTTTGCAGTATATTTTATTACAAGTCTAATTCTCTGAATATAATTAAAGAGATCTGCACCAAATGATGGTAATTCAGTTAGTGCCAGAGAACTAAGCAGGTGGGGGTGAGAGCATGTATTTGATCCTCTCTAGTATCGTCTTTGGGAGGGGTTTAAATTCTTAATCCCGAGACCCGCTCCGAATCGGACTAGTCGTGAAGCGATGAACCGATTGGAATATCTCAAAATAAAAATAAAAATAGAGAGATCTGCACCCACAGTGGGTATAATTTTCCCAAACCATGAGCCTTTTAATACTTTCACCCTTCACCTTTCAAAAAATCAAAAAAATCAAAAACACATCGTGACCTAACTTGTTTGCTGTTGGCAGCCAGAAGTAGGCCACTGTTCCGTGTTCTCCGCTTACTAATAAGATGATGATTTTTTCTTTTAGCCACTTCATTTTGTAGTGGGGAGGGGGTGAGAGCACATTGATTGATGTCAAATACTCATTTGCATTATCACTACGTAAAATCTTAATTGACTTGCCAAACTATTAAATTTCAATATGGAAAATAACTCAGGACACTCTTTCATTAAAAGGAAAAACCAAGTATGCCGTGAAAATTCAACAAAAAAGGTAGAAAAAATACTTGAAACCTAAAAGAGTATTGACACGACTTGTAACCTAAATGACTTATATTTTGACTAAACACCAGAAAGGTGGCACGGGAGTTGCTCACGTTGACTGGGTTGCTGCACCATGGGGCACATGGCAATATCTTTGGCAACTACGCTTGAAGGGATGACGAGTTGAAGGATTCCAGATTGTATCACACCTTCACTTGGTGATTGGGACAGGTGATCCGGCATTGACAATGGCAAGAGGAAGGGCATGTCTTTTTTGTTTTGTTATTAGGGTTCAAGCCCAGAACTTGTAAGCTCTAACACGAGCTTGAGATGAATGGAGGATTTGTATATTGCTTGAGGAAATCCTCGGCATTATTAATTATATATACATAATTTACAATCTCTAAAATTTGAAAACAAGGAGAATAAGGGAACTAGGAAAATACGGAAATAATACAAGTCAAATCCTAATAATTTCCATAAAATATACAGCTCCTAATTGGGAGATATTTTCCCAAAACAGGGGATACTTTCGAACAATAGTAGTCAGGAATATTGCATCTTTGTACTTATTATTTTCACTATAAAAATATCGAGTCCATCGTGTGTTGAAACACACGATTTTTAGCAAATTCTTGCCTTTCCTTTCTCTCTCAATTATTAAAATCAGTAGTAGATAGATGACAAATTCATAAATATTATATTAGAAACTAAAAGGCCAATGGCCATGAACCACTACATCCATCCAGCAGCTGGAAAGCCATTATATATGTGGAAGAGCCCATGCCACATGTTATGGGAAAATCTCAGCACCTAAGTGATCCACATCATAATTTTTTTGTATAGGACCACATCAGCACCTTAGAGCATGTCATATGATATCGTTCGCAAGAGTCTACTTTATTTAGTATACTTCGATATATAGATAATGTGCAAAACATCATATACCTTTGGCCATATAGTTCAATGCTCTCTATAGCACCATCATAAACATTTGACTCAAGCCTGATTTGCAATCTTTCTTTGCAACGTGGAGACTCTACAAATAACAGTCCCTGACTGAGATCAATAAAGGTGCTTACAAAGCCCATTTCAGGAACCTACGAAATTAAGACCAAACAAATCAAAAAGGTAGCAACAATATGAATGTTAGACTTGAACATCAGAATTTTGAGAAATTCTGTTTGAATTAAGGCAGACCACACATAGCTCTATATATAATAGTCAGCAATTAATTACAATAATTTCCTTCCTCATAAACATGATGCTCTAACTATTCTTTACATATTTGTTAAGATATTCTATCAATCCCCACACTCCCTAGTGCATATATATCTTATGTGTCAAGCTTGTCACGTATATATTTGAGTCGGGGACCTCTAAGAGCATTAATGAAAATATCTGCAAATTAATCATGTAGTTAACAAATATTGTTTTGATCTCCCTAAACTAAATTTTCTCTCAAACAAAATGATAATCAATCTCAATGTGCTTAATTCTTTCATGAAAGATTAGGTTTGAAGATATATGCAATGTGACTTGATTGTTAAAAATTAGTTTCAATGGTTATTGTTCACAAATATTCAATTCTTTGATCAACTGCTGGAATCAAATTAGCTCACAAGTTGTGGCTCGCACTCCTCGATACTCAGCTTTTGCATTTAAAGTAAAAGGTAGCAAGAGTGAGAATAGCATCGCCCAAAAATCAGAAAAGAACATGCCCAAGAAAGAGGGTCCGATTTGTTTCAATGAGTTATCAATTTTTATGTTCAGCAACCCCATTTTGTTTAAGGGTATGACCACGGGATGTTGGGTGTAGAATGCCATGAGAGGTTATAAATTTTTGCTCAAAGAATCATTTCAACCCAAAAGCTTAAGCTATTAGGTGAAGGCCACATTATTAATTTCATTTCTCTAACACGCCTCCTTACACAAAACCCATTATGCTTGAAGGATAGACAATGCACAGGTCCACCTACATGTGCTAAGAAACTCTACAATATTTAATTATTTATTAATAGAATGGAGGTAGAGAATGTCGAACTTATGACCACTCAGTCACAGAAGCTTCGATACCATGTAAAAAATCATTTCAACTCAAAAATTTAAGCTATTAGGTGAAGACTACATCGCTGGTTTTATATTTATCTATGTAGAATATTCTAGATTATCATTTATTACTTCCTTGCTATCTGTTCCCTTATTTATTAATGTCTCTTGTTATTGTAAATAAGCCTCTTCGTTTACTGTTGCTATCTATTAGCATTGTTCTTTGTACTCAATATAAATAGGACCTATTGGGTTTCTCAATGTAATCAATCAATAGTGTTATACAACAAAACACTCTTTCTTTTCATCATGGTATCAAGAGCTGGTTAAAATCCAGTCTCTTCCCTGTTCTAACTACTTTAAGTCTTCCTTCCATTCCTTTTTTTCGTTTTTTGCCTCTGTCAAGGCCAGAACCCTCACCTAGGCACCTCCAAACACAAAACCAAGGCCACCATTAGGTCCAGAACAAAATTCCGAGCCAGCCAACAAAAGAACCGTCGCCGGAAACCCAGCCACGCGCCACCAACATCCTTCAGCTTCGCCGGCGCGAGTGGTCCACGCGCCGCCCTCCCATCATTTTTTTCCGGCGGGTCATACCCCATTCTGATCGTCTGCCTTCCCTCTTCCTGTTTTGAGGGTCAAAATCATATTTGGAGGAATTTTTTTTCTAGGTATTGTTGTTAGGAAGCCATGGACACTGAAAATGTTGAAAATTCATCTGGAATTTCGACCGGAACCTCACCCCTTCCCATTTCTTCGTCTTCTGGAGACAACCCAGCAATGCAGATCACCAATCACCGTTTAAACGGTAGAAACTATGTGCAATGGTGTCAATCTGTTAAGTTGTTTATCCAGGCCAAAGGGAAGATGGGGTATCTGGATGGAAAAAAGGTTCAACCAGCAGAACATGAACCTGGCTATGATGCTTGGGTGACTGAAAATGCTTTGGTCATGACATGGCTGACTAATTCTATGGAACCGGATATCAGTCAAACTTATTTATTCCTTGATACGGCTCAAGAAATTTGGGAAGCTGTTAAAGAATACTACTCTGACCTAGGCAATGCCTCTCAGGCTTTTGAATTCAACACCAAGGTGAAAGATTTACGCCAAGGAGGGATGACTGTTACTGAATACTTCCTTGCTCTAAAAACATTGTGGCAAGAGTTGGATCTTTATGATAAAGCAGACCTTCAAGGTTTAGACGCTAATGCAATATTCAAAAATTATATAGAGAAAAGGGTTCTCTATGATTTTCTTGCTGGCCTTAATTCTGATCTGGATGATGTTCGTGGAAGAATTTTGGGGCAAAACCCATTACCTTCCATTGCCACTGCCTTTTCTGAGGTACGAAGGGAGGAGCTTCGCTGAAAGGTAATGTTGGGTGATAAGGACTCTAAGTCCTCTAATGGGTCTGCCCTTATAACAAAGAATACCTCTCGTCCTTCTGGGGACTCAAAACGTTCTGACCGTTGGTGTTCTCATTGCAATAAGGGTGGTCACACCCGTGAAAAATGTTGGGAAATTCATGGCAAACCACCAAACTGGAAACCAAAAGGACAGAACAAGAATCGTGCTAATCAAGTATCTTCTGAAGATAAGGGGGAGGGGTCTCATGTCCCTTCAAATCCCGATGGTGTTCTCCTCTCTAAGGCCTAGTATGAGCAATTTCAGAAATTAATGTCTCAACCTGCTGAGGCAACTAGTCATGTTGCTCAAAAAGGTAAGGCATTCCATGTTGAACGTAGTAATCGTTGGATCCTTGATTCAGGAGCCTCTGATCACATGACAGGTAATGCAACCTTATTTTCCTCCTATACCCCTTACTATCACCCGTCACGAATAAGAATAGTTGATGGAAACTTCTCCACTATTGCGGGCAAGGGATCCATTAAACTTTCTGAACATATTATTTTGAACTCAGTCCTTCATGTTCCCTCCCTTACTTGTAACCTCATCTCTATTAGCAAATTTACTGATGAGTTGCATTGTGTTGCTAAGTTTTCTGCAAATGCTTGTATCTTTCAGGAGCAGGACTCGGGGATGATGATTGGCAGTGCTAGAGAGGAAGAAGGGCTATACTATTTGGAAGAGGATCTTTGTGAAAGGAGGATTTTTTCAAACCACTCTCTATGTTTATCAGATGATTGTAATGATGTTTTGTTATGGCATCGTAGGTTAGGGCACCCAAATTTTGTTTACCTTCAGAAGTTATTCCCTAACTTATTTATCAATAAAAAGCCAAGTTCCTTTCTTTGTGATATTTGTCAGCTTGCAAAACATTCTCGTGTCACTTATTCTCCTAAGAAATATCATGAATCTTCTCCCTTTACATTGATTCATAGTGATATTTGGGGACCTGCTCGTGAAAAAAATGTCTCGGGTGCTCGTTGGTTTATTACTTTCATTGATGATCATTCTAGGGTATGTTGGGTATATCTCTTAAAAGACAAGTCTGATGCGGCATCCACTTTTAAAAATTTTCATGCTATGATTCAAATTCAATTCCAGACTCCTATCAAAATTCTGCGAACAGACAATGACACTGAATATTTTAATTCTGTTCTTGGAGATTGCCTAAACCAGCATGGAATTATTCATCAAAGTTCTTGTCCTAACACCCCTCAACAAAATGGGGTGGCTGAAAGGAAAAATAGACATCTAATTGAAGTTGCTCGAGCTCTCTTATTCACGATGCATGTCCCTAAATATCTGTGGGGGGAAGCCATCTTGACAACTTCTTATCTCATTAATCGGATGCCTTCTCGGGTACTAAATTTTCATTCTCCTTTATCTTGTCTTACTAAATCTTTTTCTTCTTTCTGTGCTCTTTCTTCTCTTCCTCCCAAAATATTTGGCTGTGTGGTCTTTGTACATATTCCTCCACATCAAAGGTCCAAACTTGACCCTAAATCTATTAGATGTGTCTTCATAGGATATTCCCCTAATCAAAAAGGCTATAAGTGTTACTCACCTTCTCTCCGTAAGGTCTTTGTTTCCATGGATGTTACCTTTTATGAGACACAATCCTTTTTTTCCCCGACTTCTCTTCAGCGGGAGTCTACTGGTATGGATGAAGATAAGCCTGGGAAACCAAATGAAGCTGCTGTCTTACCTTGGCCTTTGGAAACAGGGGGAGCAACTATACCTGAGTCTAATGATCCTCCCGGTCCTTGTAATCCTCCTGGTAAATGGGGAAAATTCTACAGCAGGCGCAAAACACATCAAGAGACTCTAGACTGCCAAGATCCTGACTCGAGTCCTTGCTCTAGCAACCCACTTGAATGCACTAGCACAGCCAACATTGATATGCCCATTGCCCTTCGGAAAGGTACTAGATCTTGCACTGCTCATCCTATTTCCCATTATATCTCAAATGAGAAGTTATCTCAAGGTTTTCGTGCTTTCAACACTATGTTAGATAGTACCAGGATACCCAAAAATATCCAAGAAGCACTTGATGACCCAAAATGGAGGAACGCCGTATTAGAAGAAATGGATGCACTTATAAAAAATGGAACATGGGAGTTTGTGACATTACCTAAAGGAAAGAAAACTGTTGGTTGCAAGTGGGTGTTCACAATAAAATTTAATGCAGATAACAGCATCAACAGGTATAAGGCCAGATTAGTTGCTAAGGGATTTACTCAGACTCATGGGATTGATTATCAGGAGACATTTGCTCTTATTGCCAAGCTTAACACTATCCGCGTTCTGCTATCTCTTGCCGCCAACCTTGATTGGCCATTGCAACAGTTAGATGTCAAGAATGCCTTCTTGAATGGTGATCTACATGAGGAAGTTTACATGGATCCACCTCCTGGTTTTGAAAAAGGGGATGGTTCTGTGTGCAAGTTGCAGAAGTCTCTCTATGGACTTAAACAATCTCCCAGAGAATGGTTTGAGAAATTTACTCAAGCTGTTAAGGGAAGAGGGTTCACCCAAGCTCAGACTGATCACACTTTATTCTTTAAACACTCTGACAAAGGTAGAATTGCTATCCTCATTGTTTATGTTGATGACATAATTGTCACTGGTAATGATACCGAGGAGATAGCCTCTTTAAAAAAATGTTTAGCTGATCAGTTTGAACTAAAAGATCTTGGATCTCTCAAATACTTCCTTGGCATAGAAGTTGCTCGAAGTAAGGAAGGAATTTCCTTAACTCAGAAAAAATACATTCTAAACCTGTTGCAAGAAACACGTATGCTTGGGTGCAAGCCAGCAGAAACTCCAATTGAAGCTAATATCAAGATGGGAGTTGAGGACGGGGAAGATGTTGATAAGAAGCAGTACCAGAGACTAGTGGGGAAATTAATCTATTTGTCTCACACTCGTCCTGATATTGCTTTTGTTGTGAGCATGGTTAGCCAATTCATGCATTCTCCTAAGGAAAAACACCTTAGTGCTGTTTATAGAATTCTCAAGTACCTCAAAAACACCCTTGGTCGAGGAATTCTCTTTAAAAAGGGGAACAAAAGGATGATTGAAGTTTATACAGATGCAGACTGAGCTGGCTCTGCAATGGACCGAAGATCTACTTCAGGATCGAGGAATTCTCTTAAAAAAAGGGAACAAAAGGATGATTGAAGTTTATACAGATGCAGACTGGGCTGGCTCTACAATGGACCGAAGATCTACTTCAGGATATTGTACTTATGTATGGGGAAACCTTGTGACCTGGAGAAGTAAGAAACAAACTGTTGTTGCAAGAAGCAGTGCAGAAGCGGAATTTCGGGCTTTAGCCCATGGTATTTGTGAAGGAATTTGGTTAAGAAGGCTTCTGGAAGAGTTGAAGATCTCTTATTCCCTACCTATCAGATTATATTGTGATAATAAAGCTGCTATCAGCATTGCTCAAAATCCTGTCCATCATGACAGAACAAAACATGTGGAAGTCGATCGTCACTTTATCAAAGAAAAATTAGAAGACGGTAGTGTATGCTTGTCATATATACCTACCAAGGAACAAACGGCAGATATTCTCACCAAAGGCTTACTTAAGCCGACCTTTGAGGATTTGATCAGCAAGTTGGGAATGATCAATATATATCTCCCAACTTGAGGGGGAGTGTAGAATATTCTAGATTATCATTTATTACTTCCTTGCTATCTGTTCCCTTATTTATTAATGTCTCTTGTTATTGTAAATAAGCCTCTTCGTTTACTGTTGCTATCTATTAGCATTGTTCTTTGTACTCAATATAAATAGGACCTATTGGGTCTCTCAATGTAATCAATCAATAGTGTTATACAGCAAAACACTCTTTCTTTTCATCAATCTAATAGTTTGAAATTGGTGAAACAAGTATTTGCATGCATTATCAATATGAAAAGTACAAATTTGAATGGATCTGGTTGCTGCCAAAGTACACATGGCAATGGCGATCAGAAATAGAAAAGAAGAAATTGTTTTCAGAAAAACATTGTTATTGATGGCTAGTGGGTTCACCGGATACGCACAGACAAGGATTGCCTCCCATTAGACTTTGATACCATGTTAAGGAACGAGGAAACGAGAGACATCAAGTGAAATTAATCTGTCTCAACTACATAGCCTGGACTGGGATTGCCTCTTACCAAGATCTGATACCATGTTAAGGAATGAGGAAACAAGAGATATTTGATGAAATTTGTTTGTCTCAACTACACAATGGAGACTAGACTATGAAGGGCAAACCCCGGTGCATAAGACTCCTTGACTTGCAAGGGTGAGGTGAGGGTTAATTGTACAGAACTTTACCCTTGCATTTTAGCAAAGAGGTTATTTCTTGTAATTGCTGTAACTACACAATGGAGACTAGACTATATAGCCAGAAAATAATAAATACAAAGGTCATGGTTATCCTAATTATCGTAATTACACAATTCTAATTAGTCTATACAATGAACCAACATTATTTACATGACCAACAACTCGTAAAACATGTATGCAATAGCAGGATGGAGTTAATACAACACTAACAAGCATGACATTAGTTAACATATTTAAACATTCAAGAATCTGCTTCCTAAGATGACAAAAAATGGTCAAAATGCATGACATATCTTAACAATCCAACAAACATCACAAGAATACAAATACACCAAATATGCCAAAACACACAACAAAATCATATAGTCCTTAGCAATCCCATATTAGACGTGGAGTAGTATCAAAAACAAATCAAGAAGTCTTAGAATAAGTTTTCATCAAAGAGTTTTCTCCCATTAAATTGCATGGCATAAACTATTTTCCATAAGATAAGAGTATCACTGATACAAATTCACCTCCACTTTAAGGGAAAAAAGTACACTTTTCATAAATTCAAGGAAATTAAACCACCAAAACAGACAAAAAAGAAATTATGCAGCTCCTGAAGTATGCATCTTGCATCCACAAAGGCACTAAATTGAAGACTTCACATAACAGATTACCTTTTTCTGCGTAAGAATTTCACCACTTAGACTTTTAAGAATCCACTCTCGATCGTGTTTCAGGCCTGCTCAAAATTTGAAGAAGAAATTTTCATGAAAAGATAAATGAGAAAATTACATAGAAGAGGATGACCAGTTCAGTGGAGTGAAAAATAAAAATAAAAAATAAACAAGAAAAAATAGGACAATAGCCCCATTTAAACAAAATATACCTATAATTTAAGACTAAGGAATGGGGTAGGTTATACTATCTCCTCAATATGCAAGCTGAAGGTGGTCCTGGTCAGAAGTTGTGACTTTCCTTGACTTTCCTGTAATCAGTCTTGTTCTGAGTCTCTTTCTTCTAAATTTTGGCTACAGCACAAGCATCTTGGACATCCTCCTTTTACTTTGCTTAAATCTATTTTTCCATCTCTATTTTTGAAAGAGTCTATTGAATCTTTTCATTGTGATATTTATAAGTTTGCTAAATACCATCGTGTAACTTCTTCTCCTAATTCTAATGAAAGTGTTAAAGCTTTTGCCTTTATTCACTTTAATGTTTGGGGTACTACATCCCTTTCATATGGTTCTCGAACCAAATGGTTTGTTTCTGTTGAGATATATAAAACCATTAATGTAGCCTCACCCAACAGCTTAAGCTTTTGGGTTGAATTGGTTCTTTACATGGTATCAGAGCTTCAGTGACCACAAAGTCACGAGTTCGATCCTCACCGTCCCCCGCTTTAAAGTGGAATTAAAAATAAAAAAAGAGCACAAAAGGTAAACCAAAAATGGGCCTGTGCAATTTCCACGCTTCTAGCCTAAAGAGCTCTTGCGTGAGGGGGCGTGTTGAGATATATAGTCCCACATTGATTGGATGGGCAACTAATATGGCCTTTATAAGGCCTTGGGCACTCCCACCCTTTGAGCTAGCTTTTGGGGTGGTGTATCCCAAGGTTCTTTACATGGTATCAGAGCCTCGGTGTACCGGGTTCGATCCTCACCGCCCCCCACTTTCTTTCTAGTGGAATTTCTTTCTTCGCACAGGTAGGTGGGTCTGTGCATCGTCCACCCTTCAAGCCTAGTGAACTCTCGTGTGAGGGGGCGTGTTGAGATATATAAAACCATTAATGTAGCCTCACCCAACAACTTAAGCTTTTGGGTTGAATTGGTTCTTAACAGTTTCATTTATGGATGATTGCACTAGAGTAACTTAGTTATATCTCATGAAAGATAAATTATAAGTGTCCCAATTGTTTATTCAATTTTATTGTATGACTTGATTATCAAATAATATGTTGTATATTAAGCTAATACAAAGAGTTACAATATATAGAGACCCTAATGGGCTTAAGTGAGAAGCCCAGACCTAATCCAAAACTAAATAAGAAAAGAATATTTACAGATAGGAAAGTAATTATACAAATCTAAAACAAATCTATATATCTAATATTTCCTATTCTAACACTCCCCCTCAAGCCGGTGCGTATATATTGTGAGCATCAAGCTTGTTACAAATGTATTCAACCCGAGGACCTCTAAGAGCTTTAATGAAGACATCCGCTAGTTGATCATTAGAGTTGACAAAAGCCGTTTTGATTTTTCCTGACTGAATCCTTTCTCGAATGAAGTGACAATCAATCTCTATATGTTTAGTTCTCTCATGAAATACAGGATTAGAGGATATATATAGTGCAACTTGATTATCACAAATGAGTGTCATGGGTTGTTTCTGTTCACAAAGATGAAGCTCCTGAATCAACTGTTTTAACCAGATTAACTCACAGGTAGCAATTGCCATTGCACGATACTCAGCTTCTGCACTAGATCGAGCAACAACAGGTTGTTTCTTGCTTTTCCAAGAAATTAAGTTTCCTCCAAAGAAAACACAATAACCGGAAGTAGAGCGCCTGTCTGAGGGTGATCCTGCCCAATCAGCATATGAATAACCACAAATTTCTGTATTTCCCTGATCAGAATACAACAAACCTTTTCCTGGTGCTCCTTTGATGTATCGAAGGATCTCACAGCAGCATCCCAATGAGAATCACAAGGGAAATCAAGGAACTGACTAGCTGTACTAACAGCAAAAGAAATGTCTGGCCTAGTCACCGTAAGATTATAGAGCTTCCCAATTAGCCTACGATAACGACCAGGATCAGATAACGGCTCCCCCTGTCCGGGCAATAACTTGACATTGGGATCCATGGGTGTATCAACTGGTTTACACCCCAAAATACCAGTCTCTTCTAGGATATCTAAAGCGTACTTCCTTTGACAAATAGAAATGCCATGTCTGGATTGTGCCACCTCAATTCCCAAGAAGTAACGCATCTTCCCAAGGTCCTTTGTTTGAAATTGACTGAATAAATACTGTTTTAACTGATAAATTCAAGCTTGATCACTTCCAGTGAGAATGATGTCATCAACATAGACTAACAAATAGATGCACTTATCAGGAGATGTGATCCTATAAAACACAGAATGGTCAACTTTACTGCGGATTAAGCCAAAAGCCTAAACATCAGAACTGAAGCAACTGAACCATGCTCGAGGAGACTGCTTGAGACCATATAAGGATTTACGAAGTCGACACACCTTCCCAGACTCCCCCTGAGCAACAAAGCCAGGTGGTTGCTCCATGTAAACTTCTTCTTGTAAATCACCATGAAGAAAAGCGTTTTTGATGTCAAGTTGAAGGAGTGGCCAGTGACGAACAACAGCAAGAACAAGGAACAGTTGAACCGACGCCATCTTAGCGACCAGAGAGAATGTGTCACTATAATCAAGGCCGAAAATTTGAGTAAAACCCTTTGCAACTAAGCGTGCCTTGAGACGATCAACATGGCCATCAGGTCCAACTTTCACAGTAAAAACCCAGCGACAACCAACTATAGACTTCTCTGGAGGAGCAGAAACAAAGTCCCAAGTGCTATTGGAATGAAGTGCAGACATCTCATCATGCATCGCTTGGCGCCACCCTGGATGGGAAAGTGCTTCACTTGTGTTCTGAGGAATAGAAACAGAAGAAAGACTAGAAACAAAGGTGAAATGAGGAGGAGAAAGACGGTCATAGCTCAAGAAGGTATAAAGAGGATAAGGGTTAGGAGTAGCTTTTCTTTGAGCAATGGGAAGAGCCTCTGGAGAAGGAGCCGGAGGGAAAGAATCAACAAGAGGGGGCGATGAGTCAGCCAGAGTCGAGTCGATGGGAGGCACAGTTTTACGACGCTGATAGGTGAGAAATGGACGGTCCTCAGGTATGGAAGCAATAGGTTGCTCATCTGGAATAGAGTTACCTGCAGCTGACAAAGACAATTCAAGAAAAAGAACAAGAAGAACATTATCAACCTGTGACAATTGAGATGAGATAGAATTAAAGGGTTGTTGATCAAGAAAAGTGACATCAGCAGAAACAAAGTAACGCTTAAGACCAGGAGAATAACAACGATAACCCTTTTGAAGACGAGAATAACCAAGAAAAATACACTTAAAGGCTTTGGATGTTAACTTGTCCTTCCCAGAAGTGAGATCATGAAGAAAACAGGTACAACCAAAGACATGTGAGGATAGAGGATAGAGAGGAACATCTGGAAGCAACAAATTATAGGGAATGTCATTATTAAGCACAGATGAAGGCATACGGTTGATGAGAAAACAAGAGGCAAGGACTGCATCGGCCCAGAAGTGAAGAGGTGAATAAGAAGAATCCGTGCAGTTTCAATGAGATGTCTATTTTTACTTTCAGCTACTCCATTTTGTTGTAGAGTGTGAGGATAAGTAGTTTGGTGTAAAGTACCATGTGTGGCTAAGAAATTAGAAAAGTCAATAGAAACATATTCCTTAGCATTATCACTACGTAAAATACGAATAGAAGCACCAAATTGAGTATGAATTTCAGCAGAAATTTTTTGATAAATAGAAAATAACTCAAAACTATTTTCCATTAAATAAATCCAAGTACAACGTGAAAATTCATCAATAAAGGTAACAAAATACCGAAACTCTAAAACAGACAGACTACGACTTAGACCCCAAATATCTGAATGAATAATTGAAAAAAGAGCATCATCTCGTTTATTGACTCGATTGGCAAAGGAGGAGCGTATGTGCTTCCCTTGCTGACATGACCGACAATCTAAAGTCTGAAGACCGGATAAAAAAGGAACCATCTTCTGCAATTTTGAAAGACTAGGATGACCGAGGCGACTGTGGATGAGTTGTGGAGATTCTGTGAGAGAACAAGCAACTGAAGGATTCGGCACAACCAAGTAGAACAGACCTCGTGGCTCACGGCCCACTCCAATCGTCTTCCCCGTACCTGATCCTGCACAAAATCATAATGGTTTGAGAAGGTAACAATACAATTAAGAGAGTTGATCAATTTACTAACAGAGATTAAGCTATAAGGGATGTCAGGAATGTCATAGACAGATGTCAAGGTCAATGAGGAGGTTGGATAGATTTGTCCAATCCCACGAATAGGGGCTTTAGTGCCATCAACAAGAGTAAAAGAGGATAAATTATCAGAATATGTAATGGATGAAAAGAGTTCCTTATTACCACAAAGGTGATCAGTAGCACCTGAGTCAAATATCCAAGGACCAAGTGATGCATAATGAGAAACACAAGCAACGAGATTACCAGTTTCTGAAGCAAAGGGCTGAGACTGAGGAGAGGCCTTCCTGAGAAGAGTCTGGAGTGCTGCATAGTCTTCAGAGGAGAGAGAGACTCTACCAGTTGAAGCAGTATCCGATTCAGCTATATTAGCAGCATGAGAGGGTCGCAGGTGAGGATACTTTGTGTAGCAACGTTCCTTATAATGACCAAGTTGCTACCATAATGACAATGAGGTCGCTGACCACGTCCTCCTGCCCTGGCCTCCACCACGGCCACGATAACCTCCAAAGTTCTCGCAAAAGTCAGTATGGGAAACTAGAGCAGTGGAATCAACAACAGAAGATAATGCAGGAGCAGATTTTTTATTAAGGTTCAGAAGACGCTGATACGTCATTGATAGATCAGGATCCCCACTGGTCAAAATAGTATCCCGGACATTATCATATTCTTCAGGAAGACCAGAAAG